ATTGGAGCGGAATCGGGTTTAATCGAAAGAAGAACTGACGGTACCGATGAAGTCATGCACCGATGTAATGACCATGAAAGAGATTTCCTAGTAAGTCATACTTGAAGCTTGTCAATATTGAAGACACTACTCTTCGCATTTATGCTTCAAGAATAACTCGAATATACATCGTTCAAGCATCAGGCTAGCAATCGAGCATCATATTCTGATCGTGGATCGTAAAGCACTTAGTAGAGCTCAACCGTATTTTCAATGTAATAAAACTTGTACCTGCGAGGCAGTCTGATGCGATTTTAACGCGACGCACCGCTAGTGAGGCTCCGAGCTGATCGTCGAATAAGATTTAACGATAGAGAGCAAGAATTATCTTATTCTTTATTGTTATCTCTTTATCGCGATTCAGTAAACGCTCAAGCAGCTCATCGTTAAAATCCCATCGGACCACGTTTCGTAGACTATTGAAAATACCGAAAATACACTTTGCAACATTTATCCGGACTCTGATAATTAAAATCATTTGCTCACACAAATCACTACGATCGACACATTGCATTATAAGTACACAACGTACTTCAGAGTGTCATACGTCCAAATGTTCTTATTATGTATATTTATCTACCTTACTTAACTAGCTATCATAGACTACCTTCTATTCTATCATGTATGTCCGTTCGATCGTGGGCTGAGAAAGATAATGAACGATCTAATCCCTACCAATCCTTTTATGTATCTGCTGATGCTTAATAAGATGCGCCTTCTGCCTGAAAGCTTTGCTACACACGTCGCATCTGAACGGTTTCTCGCCCGTATGCGTGCGTAAGTGTACCTTAATATTGCTTTTGTTTAGGAAACCTCTTTGACAGATATGACACCGATGTATTGGCTTATCCTTACCGCTCATTAAACCCGATTCCGTTCCGTAGGATAACGCCGCGGCGTTGGCCGCGGGTCCCTTCTTGGAGCCCGTCGCGCCTCCGGAGCCTGGCGAGGATCGTGACCTCTTTCTAGGATGGGAGGGCGCGGCGAAGGACGAATGGAGGATATCGTCGGGACTGCAAGAAGTGGACACTCGATTGGGCGGGCTGAGCGGCGGGTACGGGCTCGTCGACGACGGCGTCTCGCCGCACGACGCGTTCTGAAGACTCGCGGGGTTACCGGCCTGCAATCTCGCCTGCAGCAAGGGTGCGTAATCCATTTTCTGCGTAAGCAAGCTTTGCAACGCGGAACCGTGCTGCTGAGTCTGCGTCGATGGGGTCGTTGTCACGTAGATCTGGTGAGACGCGAACGTACTGGGCGAGGTGGTCTCCTGGGTCTTAGGCGAACAATCCGTTATCCAATCGGCGATATCTATCCAATCCCTCGAGGCGTCTGTATCCTGCTCGGAACTGGGGCCGTTTCCGTTGCCCGGCACCGTTGTGTCCGCAATCGCCGAACCGATTATTTGCGCGATGTCCTCCATCTCCTCGTAAATAATCTGTTGCGTCGATTGCGGCAGCTGCTGCTGCTGTTGCTGATTGTGAGGATGGTGATGCTGCGGCTGCTGGTGATTCTGCTGCTGCTGCTGCTGCTGCTGTTGCTTCTGGCTTGCCTGCGGGCATGGTGTGCTGGAAGACACTACGGGCGACTCGAAGAATTCCTGGTTGGAGGAGGGTGTAGGCGAAGCGGACCCCACCTCGATCGTTGATCTCTGCCCGGACGAGGCTATCGTGTGATAGTGATGTCCAGGGATACCGTTTATTTGGAGGTGTCCCGTATAGTTGGTGAAGGGCGGAAGCGGAAGCAGCTTCACGTCCGACAGCGACTGTTCGGCGACCGTCGTACCCAAGATCGAGTCCCAGTTGTCTTGAAATCCGACGGCAGTTTGCTTCGCATCCGGCACTCCTCCCTCCAGGAATTCTGGACCGTTTGTCCAGGGTAAGAGCAGACTGTCGATCTCGCCGGGCGAACTACCCACCACAATCCCGGAGCCCTGGCTGCTGTGCGGCGGCTCGACGCCGGACGAGGTCAAGTGCGGCGGCGCCGCCGGCGGGCCCGACTGCGTCTCGTATTTCATCTCCGTTACGATGTCCGATGTTGGCGAAATGGTGTCCAGGTAATGCGGCAGGGCCGCGTGCCTCACCAGC